ACTGAACTCGTCAGCTGACCCAACCCTCAATCTCCCCCCCATACACACAGACACACCCATCATGCCCTATGCTGAGCCGTCCTTCATTAGTTTCTCAGTTCCTTTTCCAGACAAGGAATGAAATCCAGACTCTTTTTTTAAAAGAAAACAAAACACATCAGGCTTTGCACACCTAGATGGGCCTACCCACCCTAGCCCTTCGGAGATTACACTCAAATGCAGAGATGCTGCATTTGCCTAAAGTAACCGTCAACTCCGTTCTGTGGATTTCCCTCTAAACGTTTGTCATCCACAGAAGAGCACTCATGCCCTTGTGTTTTGTCAGAAACACACTCACCCAGTTTAATGCAAAAAGCACCTGGCTTGGGTGTCTTTGCTTCAGATTCATTATTACCTGCTAATGTTGTCAGTTCAGACTTAAACTCCCAAGGCCTCTTGACCTTCGTTTCTGCAGGGAAAATAGTAATATTGGCTGCAGTCTGTGAGATTTTGTGAGGATCAAACATATAAGAAAGCACATTTAATGCCACAGAACATAATATTAGATTTTTAAAAGATTTTTCTCTCTCTCTTTGCCCCATTCACCCACTGAATATATTGCCAACTATCTGTACATATTCTGCTCTGGGGAGAAAGCATTCATTCATTCACTCATTCATCCATTCAGGGAAAGTTTATTACATTTCATTATGTGCTTGGAACACAAAGATAAATGGCATTAACTCTCTGTCTTCAAGGAGCCTGTAGAAGAAAGAAGTAAACAGATATGACTATGAACGGATGAGTGAATAACGGAATAAATGAATGAATGAGTATAGAGTGAAAGCTCTAAGAAAGACATCCGTGTGTGTTAGGAAGTGTGTAGTTCTCTAAGTGTATGTATGGGGGCAGAAGAGTCCGTGAACATCTTTAAAAAGAAGATAGATAATAGTTGAACTGAATTAATTTATTCTTTTTTTCCAGCTTTACTGAGGTATAATTGATAAAAGTTGTATGTATTTAAGGGTCTAACATAACGTTTTGACACATACATACATTGTGAGATGATTATCACCATCAGGCTACATACCCATCATCTCACATAGTTACTACTGTGTGTGTGTTTGCGTGAGTGTCTGATAACACTTGAGATCTACTCCCTTAGTGAATTTCAAGTATACAATAAGCTATTATTAACTATAGTTACCAAGCTACACTTTAGGCATCCAGAACTTCCTCATCTTACAACTGAAAGTTCATACCCTTTATTCTCATCCCCACGCCCAGCCCTGGTAACCACCATTCTACATTCTACTCTCTATCTCCTTGAGTTCAATTTTTCTTTTCTTGAGATTCCAAATGTAAGTGAGATCATGCAATATTTGTCTTTCGGGGTCTGGCTTCTTTCTTTTTGTTTTTTCTTTTGTTGTTTTTTTTTGTTGTTGTTGTTTGTTTTTGAGACAGAGTCTCACTTTTGAGACAGAGTTGCCCTGAGTAGAGTGCCATGGCATCATAGCTCACAGCAACCTCAAACTCCTGGGCTTAAGTGATTCTCTTGCCTCAGCTTCCCAAGTAGCTGGGACTACAGGTGCCTGCCACATTGCCTGGCTATTTTTTGGTTCTAGTTTTCATTGTTGTTTGGCAGGCCCGGGCTGGATTCGAACCTACCAGCTCTGATGTATGTGGCTGGCATCCTAGCTGCTGAGCTACAGGCACCGAGCCAGGGTCTGGCTTATTTCACTTAGGGTAGTGTCCTCCAGATCAATCCATGTGGTTGCTAGTGTCAGGAGGTTCACTAATATTTCACTGTACAGATACATATATGTGTATGTATGTGTGTGTATGTATATATACATATACATATATGTATATACATATATATACACACACCCCACTTTTCCTTATCCATTCATCCACTGATGAACACCTACATTGTATTTCAAATCCTGGCCACTATGAATAATGTTGCAGTGAATATAGGGTCCAGATATCTCTTCAAGACAGTGATTTTATTTCCTTTGAATATATCCAGAAGTTGGGTTTGGGGTCACGTGGTAGTTGTATTTTTAATCTTCTGTGGTATTTCCATACTGTTTTCCCTAGTGGCTGCACCAATTTACATTCCCACCAATAGTGTATAAGGGTTCTCATTTATCCACATCCTTACAAATACTTAACTTTTTACTTTTTTGCTAATAGACTTCCTAGCAGGTATGAGATGTTCCCTCATTATGGTTTTGATTTAAATTTTCTTAATGACTAGTGGCATTGAACATCTTTACATACAAGTATACCTGTTGGCTATTTATATGTCTATTCGGGTCCTTTGCACACATTTAAATTGGGTTACTTGGGTTTTGCTATTGAATTGTATGAGTTTCTTATAGATCTAAGATATTAGCTCCTGATTGGGGATATAAGGTTTTCAAATATTTTTTCTCATTCTACATGTTGCTTTTCATTGTTTCCTTTGCTGTGCAGAAACTTTAGTTTGATGTAGACCTCCTTGTTTATTTTTGATGTTGTTACCTGTGCTTTTGATATCAAAGCCAAATCCTTCACTGTCAATAGCAATGTTAAGGAGCTTTACTCCCATGTCTTCTTCTAGGAGTTTTACAGTTTCAGATTTTACTTTTAAGTCTTTAACCTATTTTGAGTTGATTTTTTGTGTATGGTATAAGATAAAGGTCAAATTTTGTTCCTTTTTATGTGGATATTCCATTATTCTATTTGTTAAAGAAATTATCCTTTCTCCATTGTGTATTCTTGGTGACTTTGTCAAAAATTAGTTTACTACATGTTTGTAGCTTTACTTATGGGCTGTTTATTCTGTTCCATTGGCCTGTATGTCTATTTTAATACCAGTACCATACTATTTTGATTATTATAGCTTTGTAATATAATTTGGAATCAGGAAGTGATGCCGTCATCTTTGTTCTTTTCATTCAAAATTGTTTTGGCTATTCAAAGTCTTTTGTGGTCTCATATGAATTTAATGATTTTGTTTTTCTATTTCTGTGAAAATTTTTGATAGGAATTACATGGCATCTATAGATAGTTTTGGGGAATATGGATATTTTAACAATATTAATTACTTCCATCTGTGAACATGGGTGTCTTTCCATTTATCTGTATCTTCAATTTTCTTTGTGAATGTTTTATAGTTTTCAGTATACAGATCTTTTGCCTTCTTGGTTAAATTTATTTCTAAGTATTTTATTCTTTTTGATGCCATGGTAAATGAAATTGTTTCCTTAATTTCATATTTAGATATTTATTTATGTATATAAACACAATTGATTTTTATATGTTAATTTCACATCCTATAACTTTACTGAATTTGTTTATTGGTTTAACAGTCTTTTTTGGTGAAGTTTTTTTATTATATTTTATTGTTAGTCAATGAAACGTTCTGGACCCAAGGATGAAAGATTATTCCAAGTTCTGTAGGAATAATGTGGTCTTTATTTCCACTTGGATGCAGGTGGGGTAAAATCATGAAAGGAATTCCACATGTGGATTATAGAGGATGGGGATTTAAAGGATCGGAGAGGGCAGCACTCGGTGACATTCCTATTTCCTAGGAGGTACATGAGTCTGACCCTTTCTGGGCAGGGCAGGTCTATTTGGTTGGGTGCACCTGATTCTATCAGTCAAGCTCCTTACTTGTTATTGGTCTGTTCAGATTTTCTATTTCTCTGGAACTTTGTCTTGGTAGGTTATATGTGCCTCGTAATTTATTCATTTCTTCTAGGTTATCCAATTTGTTGGTGTATAATTGTTCACGGTAGTCTCTTATAATCCTTTGTATTTCTGTAGTATCAGCTATAATGTCTCTTATTTCATTTCCTATTTTGTCTGAGTCTCCTCTCCTTTTCTAGTTAGTTTAGCTAAGGGTTTGTCAATGTTGTTTACCTTTCCAAATGATCCCATTCAACTCAACTCAAACAATTCAATTGTTTATCTTTTCAATTTAGTTTCATTGATTTTTAAATTGTTTTTATAGTCTTCATTTCATTTATTTCTGCCCTGAGCTTTATTATTTCTTTTGTTGACTTTGCACTTACTTTGTTCTTTTTCTAGTTTCTTGAAGTGCAAAATTAGGTTGCTTAGTCATTTAAGATTTTTCTTTTTTCTTAATGTAGACATTTGTAACTATAAATTTCCTTCTGAGAACTGCTTTTGCTGCATCACAAAAGTTGTTTGTTTGGTTTTTTTTTTTAAGATGGAGTCCTCTGCTGCTCCTCTGTGCTGGGCTCAAGCAATCCTTCTGCCTCAGCCTCCTGAGTAGCTGGGATTGCAGGTGCCTACCACAAAGCCTACCTAGTTTTCTATTTTTAGTAAAGGTGGGATCTCGATCTTGCTCAGGCTGGTCTTCAATTCCTGAGCTCAAGCGATCCTCCCACCTCTGTCTCCAAGATTGTTAGGATTACAGTTGTGAGCCACCATGCCCAGCCCTGTCCCACAAGTTATGGCATGTTGTATCTCCATTCTCAACTGTTCCAAGATAATTTTTTATTTACCTTAAAAAGGGAATAAAATTTCTTCTTTGATTCACTAGTTGTTTAGAAATGTGTTTAATTTCCATGTATTCGTGCATTTTCAAATTTTCCTCCTCTTATTATTCTCTAGTTTCATTCCATTGTGGTCAGAAGAGATATTTGATGTGATTTTAGTTTTTAAAAAATTGTTAACATTTGTTTTGTAGTCTGATATGTGATCTATTTTAGAGCATGATCCATCTGCGCCTGAGAGGAAGGTGTGTATCCTACTGTTGGATGGAATGCTCTGTGTGTCTTGTAGATTCTCCGTTTGGTCTAAGTGTTGTTCAAGTCCAGTGTGTTCTTGTTGAATATTCTGTCTGGATGATGTATCCATTATTAAAAGTGGAATTCTCTATGATTATTGTATTGCTATTTCTCCTTTCTGATTTCTTACTATTTTCTTTGTATATTTGGGTGCTACAATCTTGGGTGTATTCATATTTGTTATATCCTCTTGATAAATTTTTTTTACAGGGTTTCTTCAGTATTAAATATGTCTACATGGTCATTTCAGGTCCTCTTAATAAATTAACTACATTACTATTGTTTAATGCCTTTTTTTATCTCTGCTTAAATTTTTGACTGAAAGTCTATTTTTGGCTCGGCACCTGTAACTCAGAGGTCAGAGCACCAGCCACATGCACCGGGTCTGGTGTGTTTGAACTTAGACCTGGCCTGCTAAACAACAACGACAACAACAAACAAACAAATAGCCAGGCGTTGTGGTGGGTGGCTTTAGCCTCAGCTACTTGGGGGGCTGAGGCAAGAGAATCTCTTAAAGCCCAAGAGTTTGAGGTTGCTGTGAGCTATGATGCCATAGCACTCTACCAAGGGTGACATAGTGAGACTCTGTCTCAAAAAAAAAAAAAA